ATCCTCTAGCCAGATTTCAGGTTCTTGGATGGTCCCCCCCCATCCTCTAGCCAGATTTCAGGTTCTTGGATGGTCCCCCCCCATTGACCCATCCTCTAGCCAGATTTCAGGTTCTTGGATGGTCCCCCCCCATTGACCCATCCTCTAGCCAGATTTCAGGTTCTTGGATGGTCCCCCCCCATTCTGAGTGAAAATGTGGCAATTTATTTTTTCCAATTTACATTTCCTTGCTTCGGATTTGAGACAGAAACCCTGTCAAATGCCAGCCAAGTGCTCTACTAACTAAGCTAAGAGGTTAACCCTCTAGTTAGTGCTAGTAACTCTCTGTTTAACAACTTAAACTACTACATGTAACATAGAAGAATTATGAGGAACATCATATTCCCTACAATAAAATGCTTGTAATTTTTTCTAAAAGAACAAATTAAAGACTTTGAAAAATGATTAACCTTCTGTTATGTTTTCAAAATTTATATGAACAAATTTTAAGCTCAATAAGATACGATTCTGAAGTTTAGGAGTTGAAAACGACCATTACTTTGGAGAGAATTATTAGAAATATTTGTTAACTTACTTCTAGACAGATCAATAAATAGCTGTTAGAGAGCTGAAAAATTTCTCCTTGGGGTTAATGAAATCAGAGCTGAATTTTATACACTTATCACATACGGGTAACAGATTGCACATTAATAATATAATGTAAACTGATTTTTCCTTTTGTTTTTTTAATGTTGAAGTCTAAAACTTTTTGGTTATAACAATCTGTTTAGAGCTTACATCTCATAAGATTAAACCAGTAAAACATCTCACTTATGTAAATATGAAAAACAATACAATATTACTTACTTCAGGTGTCTGTTAAGTTCTTCTATATAATTTTTCTGATCCAAAACAGCTGTCATATGTGCTGTTGAGTGGACTCTAAATGAATGAATTCAGAATAGAAACAGGTCGAAAAAAAACCACCCAATCACAAAAATTATATTTCATTACAATTTTTTGCAATGTATTTGTTACGTTTACACTTACTAACGTCAAAACACTTACATGTGTCTGAACATATTTGTAATTCAGTATACCTAGTTGTCAACCATTTTCTCTATACAAAACAATACTAGGGATAAGATCTCAATTACCAAACTCTTAATCTAACAATTTATATATGCACTGTAAAGATCGTGGGATGCTTTTATAAATAGTTTCTTTGATATTTTTTATGTTACTTGTTTCGAGCTAAAACATTTCCTTTTTATACTTGTGTTGGACTTTTCTACGGACTCCACTTTCTCATGTGTGTAATACAACTTATCTGAATCAGGTTGCATAGCAACTGTATGGTTTCCTACAGTGATTGGCTAATAAGTTTGCAAGCAATAAATAGATCTTGTGATGTTTGGTTAGACAATAATTAGCCAGAAACAGTGTAGGTAAACAAGAAGTTTTCTTTTTTTGTGAGTGAGATGAATACAGATGGAGCACGGTAGACTGACGAGTCACCGGGGCGAATGGTGGTCGCACGTCATGGAATTTGTAGTTTCACTTACAAGTTATTTTAAGCAACTTGATATTGTTGGCCAGAATTTTTAGATCATTCAGTAAAAAGAATAATTAAAAGTCCAGTCTATTTAATGATAAAGAAAACATTATACATGTCATGAACTTCAAGTTCCATGGCTAGCATAATAAACATTCTCTGATAGACTTAACTTCACAAGTAAACTACGTCTAAACATAAGTTAAAAATCACTGTGGTACAATGAAATCAAAAAGTGGGAAAAAACTTATACCACGAAAAATGTTAATATTCACAACGTTATGGGCCGAGATGCCCTACCTCTGGTGATTTTAAACTTTAAGTACTTGAATAATTCACGATTCTCGAACAGAATAAGAAGCACATAAAACTGAAAATGCTTTAAAGATAGTTTTTTTTTTGTCACACTTCTAAGCAGAAACAAAGAAAGTGATAAAAGAGTTGATAATAAAACAAGAAACTTGAGATGGACACAAGTTCTAGAATAGTTAGAACTTAGCAGAGTTGAATTAAAATTGAAAAAGTAGTAACGTACCCTTCAGACGGACACTCAGCGTGGTTATTCTCTCTCAGGTACAGGCTGAAATCAATTACTCCTTGCTATAAAAAGAACATGTTAAATTAAAAAAAAACAATTACAAAATGTATACACATAGAGAATGTTTTATAGAAGTGTTATTTCTTTTGATACATTTTAAAAAGCACAGCACTTTGTTAAGTAAACCTACTTCTGTCTATTACGTGTGAATAACCAATCAAAAGCTCACAATGTCCTCAAATTATTTTCTGGGATGAAGAATAGTTTTAATAACATGAAAAATCACTTCACACTCTGACTAGTAATGAAACAGACTTGATATATTTACAAACAAATCTTTAGTAAAAATACTTCATTAAAAAATCTAATTTTTTGTGTACAAAAAACTCGTAATCATTTCTAAAAGTCTACCAAATTTTGTGAATATACACATACTGCATTGAAAGTTATAGTATAAATACTTAACGTGTCCAAATGTGTATACGAACTTTTGTATTTTATTCCGAGCCCATTGCGAAAGGGATAAAAGTCAGTATCAAAGATAAGTTTCAACACTTACCTGAGAGTCCAGGTCTTCTCCTTTCACACAAAGGTTACAGTCGATAACATTGAGACCAACCAGCAAGCCACCGATTACTACAGCTTCTTCAGAAAACATGAGTGCTCCTGGTTCATAAAACTCTCTGAACATCAAAATCACAATAAAAACTTTGTAATATCCCACAGAAAATATGTATATTTATAAGAACTTGGGTAAAGATAAAGAAGATTATGTTATAGGTCAACCACACTACATCTGCTATATCCAGTGCCATCAAAGCCTTTTGCCCAATACTAGGGTTCAGCAGAGGGACTACAACTGTTACGACATGAACTACATTAAGTAAATGAAGTGTAATTATCATCAATTTTAATTAATTAAGTCATTTACAAATCAGAATTAGATTATAGTTAAACGTATAGTTCACTTACTAAATATGAATTTAATGATTGACATAAACAAAGTTTGGTCAACACTGAATTAGGATAAGGTGCTTTCCATATGCTAAGGTTAAACAAACTTTAATAGTAAGCACTAAAACACATACTTTGTATGTTCTAGACATTAATTAGATAACTACCTGTGTATTCATAACATTATTTTCATTGAAGCTTATTATCTTGTGGTACATGCAATCTATCAAAGAACAAAATTAAATAAAGAAGTCTCGCAAAACAATATCTAAGTTAAAATATAAGATAACATTAACACAAAACTGCCATTCTGTTCTTTAAAAATGATAAGCTAATTATACAAAACAGTATTTAGGGTTCTGATGTATTCTTACACTAGGATTTCTTCTTTTTTATCAATCAACAAGCGAAAGTAGTCTGCAAGACGTTTCTGCATCAGAGCTAATCTCAACCAGGCCCGTGCATGACCAGGGTGTGTCCTGAAGTAAGTGGAATCAAACAGCACAAAGTTTTGTTTTTCATCTTAGATTATATTAGAGAATTTTCTTGCAAAGTATAAAACATTTTAGGAACATAATTTTGTATTATCAATGAAAAACACACTATTTAAATTAAAAAGTTCCAAAGCATTTAGTGGTAGAAAGCATTATACCATTTTCATCTTTAAAAAAGTTGCACAAATGGTTTCATGGAATAAAATCAAATCACTGTTTTGTTATCTAGTGATGTTTCGAGTGACTGCTCTCTGTCGAGCTTAATATGAAAATAGTTTTATTATTATTATTAGTTTCAGCCTAATTTATAATTAACTATTACTTACTTTTCATATCTTAATCTCAGTTGCCTATTTTTCTTTATTTTTTTATGAGATATAATGCAACATTCATCTTAACAACAGTCTGAAACAACTATAAATGAAATAGAAACAACATTTTTTCGATAGATAGTTAAAGTTACTCGTAAAACAATCTATCTTCAGATGTTGTGCAACTCCTCGAGTTTATTAAAAAATACATATGTAAAGATGTTCATACATGACAAATAAACAACAACAATTTTTAAAGAAATATACTAATAAAACTTAACAGCATAAATTATATTCAATCGGCTATACTGTCAAGTGAAATGCTAATAAAAAAAACAAACCTCAAGACAAGTAAATGAAGGTAACAACAACCTCTCTCTTCACACAAAAATTATTATATTCTACAAATGATGTTTAATTCTCAACGCCGTGAATCCTAGTCTATAATTTTTTATTTAAACTCGGAGGAACACATAATGCCACACAACGTTCACGTAGCATGAGAATCTTCTCATTGAAAGATGGGAATAGATTCTCATTTCAGTCTCTTAAGTAATCACATCGCAAAAGGTATTAATTACTTTTTACCCAGCTAATTTTAAAACTTCATTCTTTTACAAAAATACTGAAAGTAAGTTAATGCACACTTATTTTCAGGAATACAATAAAAATGAAACTTTATACAAGAATAACTGAAAAATACCAGAATTTTACTGGAAAACATAGACAACAGTATAAATGGAATTATTGATTGTAATCCTATTTACATAACTAAAACAACAATATGAAATCATACGAGATAAACAATTGAAAAGTACATGTACACCAACTCTACACTACGTTTCATAATAAATTTTCTCTATCATTATAAAGTGTTCTATTGTTGAATCATTTGATAAAGATAATGCCAAGTCATGAATTTTACTTCATGAATAGCGTTTCTTATAGGCTATGTTCACTTTGACACAAATGAAGGCCTGAGTTCACAAACAACATTCCACTAATGCATGCTTCATTCATGAATAATCTTACAGAATTTACTCTGTAATCGATCCAGTAAATGAACAGAAGCGATAAGCTCTCACTATTAACACTGAACAGAATCACTCATTGAATACTTACTATTGTTTCATTAACTGTTTCACCAATTCTTGTATTTATATTGCTCACTTGTTTCTAAATACTGCACTAAATTTCTGTATCATATTGTTATGTGTCCTTTAGCTAACAAAAATCTAAATCAATACACTGAAGATATAGCTTACAACTATATTTGAAAAGTTCATAAACTGGTTAGTTTAGAGCCATTTTATATACTATCAATGCAATGTTATTTAGAGATATCTTGCAGCCAATATATTTAATAGTGAAAAGTTATCTTGCATCTAATTAAAAACAATAAAAACTCGATGCTAACAAGTAACAAAAATGTCAAATGTAGACCTTTAAACACAAATTTAGCAATCTGTAAGACTATGTATACAGATGTACAATTACTGAAGTATTCAGATCAACTGTCAAAATGTATTGATATTATCTTTTACAGAAATATTTGTTTTACTTTGTATACCTCTAACTGACCAGTTGTAAACATAAGCCTGAATACACATGAAGGAATTGAGCTAAGCAATGCTGTATCTTAAATACGATTGTGTGCTAGTATACAAGTTTTTAGGGTCCCAAACTTATTTTATACCCATGATCACTGTATAAATATCATAAAACTAACCAAAAACAAGATTTTAACAGATGCTGAATATCTACACCATCAAGGTAAAGAAGTTGCTAATCAAAGACTTTAGTGAAGGTTAGGCCTACAAAAATTAAAACAGAATTCAAAAAATAGTCTTACCTCACGGTCATAAGAAATTTGAATGATATACATCCATACAAGACAGGGAACAATGCTCAATGCTGCCACAAAAAAAAATCACAAGGTTAAATAAATAAATAAATAAAAATAAGAAATAAAAGATAAAATAAAAAGACTGAACATAAAATATATCACCATAAATAAAAAAACTAGCAAGTAATATAACCAGAAGACATGAAAAAAAACATGCAAACAGAGTAATGTACAGTGAAAAGAAAAAACTACAAGTAATAAATGTTATAAACAGAAATATAAAATGATAGAATTTTTAAATATTTTAAATAAATAATAATTTGATATAAGATGAATGAAATAAGTAAAAATCAAAGAGGACCACACATATGCCATTCACCAATAAAGTCAAACAGATTTAGAAAGTATTAATACATAATCTATTCAAAGATTAAAAAAACCCACCAAACATTAAGAATAATGTAAAACAAATATATGGTAACTGACGAGAAATGGAAACAACCTGACAGAAAATCAGTGTAAATGAATCCATCAAAATAAAAGAAAAAACATCTAAGTTAGAGAAAAAATCTAGTAGCCAATTACAAAAAAAGTACAAAATGAATTTGCCGAAAAAACATGAAATGGTTACTAATACCAAGCTTAAAAACATGTTTATGGAAACATGCCTAACTGTAAAAGACAAAAGCTGGTAATACAAACATTACAAGAACAATTGATATCGAATAACAAAGATTAAGCTTGCATAGAAATATATATAAACAATTAAAAATCCCACAAATTGTCAAATAAATAATAAAATTCCATGGTAAAAAAATATGTAAATACACTACAAAACATGTACGCAAAGACAAAGTATCTATCAAACTCAACAAAATAAATGAAAAGTTAATTTTTATGAAGCAGGAAAACATATATCACCTCAATCACATCTCTTTCTGTGATGAATTTTGTACAAAGTTACATAAGAGCTATTTGGCTATCCAACCTAATTTTGAAGCGATAGGCTAGACATAGGGAATGCAGTCAGTGAGCTCTTGTCAGATCAAAAGTTGGATTTCACTGTATCTTATAGAACATCCACGACCCCAAAGTACAAACTGTTTTTAATAGTAACGGGTCTTGAACCACAGAACCTGGATCCACATCTATCTTATAGAACATCCATGACCCCAAAGTACAAACTGTTTTTAATAGTAATGGGTCTTGAACCACAGAACCTAGATCCACATCTATCTTATAGAACATCCACGGCCCCAAAGTACAAATTGTTTTTAATATTAATTGGTGTTGATCCACAGAACCTGGATCCACATCTATCTTATAGAACATCCATGACCCCAAAGTACAAATTGTTTTTAATATTAATTGGTGTTGATCCACAGAACCTGGATCCACATCTATCTTATAGAACATCCATGACCCCAAAGTACAAATTGTTTTTAATATTAATTGGTGTTGATCCACAGAACCTGGATCCACATCTATCTTATAGAACATCCACGGCCCCAAAGTACAAATTGTTTGTTTCTTTACAAAGTAAAACTTGTTTTGAATGGTAATGGGTCTTGAACCACAGAACCTCAAATCCACAGTCCAGTATACCGACCAATAGGCCCCACTGTAATCAAAGCACTAAAATGGGAACAGTAGTACAAAGAACACAAATAACTGAACAGTTACCATACGCAAACCCTCCAAATAATTTTGGTCAATGAATTAAAAAAAAAAAGAAAGAAAAGCACACATTAGCCTAATATAAACAAGTAATATTTCTTGAAATTATTCTAGTGTTGCATGCGATCTGCAATCTAAAAAAAAGTGCCGGCATGCAAAAAGATTCAGTCCACGCACACAAGCAGATCACTTATTTGAAGCCCTGATCTTAGGAAAGTATCAAAATAATGAACAAATAAAAAAAACAACAAAAAAGTTTGCTATTTTCATGTAAATTAACACAAGTTCAAATTTCTGAGTTAGGAAACCTCGATGAATAAAATTAATGTACCAAATAAAGGCACAACGGTAATGACCAAAATCAATTGCTGATTTGGATGGCACACGAAATTTACAAGCAAATCACAAAAATAAACGTATACCCGAAATAGGAAAATGGTTTAAACATTCAAAACTGGGAATGAGGCAGATATGGTTGGTAACATATTTATTTACAAAGTTAGTTAAAATGAAACAATAATACAAGTTATTGTGAAGACATTATTGTAAACATTAGCCAAAACTTAGTAAAACAAACTATTGAAAAAGAACATAAATATACAATGGAGGAAAAAAAATTAGGGATGGCAAAAAGAGTATTTGAATGTTTAAAAGAACACCCAAAAAATGATTTTAAAAGAAGTGACTAATAAAGAAACTTCTTACAGGAAGATGTGAAAACTGAACTGTAAAACGTGGCTCACTATGGAAAGTGTTTTATTTTAAAAAAAAAACACATTATGAACACAACTGTGCTTAAAAAATATAAATCTAAAAACCAAGAGAAGAAACAAAACAAGAGCATCTAAACACAGTCAATATTTTGAACCACAGTTAACACAGTTTGAATGGTTAGATCAAACAACACAAACTATCCGTAAAACACATTTGTTCTTTCATGGCATAACAACCAAACATCTCATTCATCAATGAAAACAAACAATATACACACTTCATAATATCTCCATGATAATGTAAAAATATACGATTATCTGTAAAACAACAATTAAAATAATAATATTCGAGATGCAAAACAAACACAGATTATACCAACAATAGGAACAACAAACAGAGATCTACACAAGAAGGAAGAAGTAGCTGTCAGCAATCAAGACAGCAATACAGATCAGCCAGACAAAAAGAAAAATGGATCTAGATATATTAACACATTGTACAACTACTGTAAAAATAAAAACTTAAATTATAGTTCGCATAAGGGGACATTGATATGGAAGTAATGAAAATTTATATGTTTTAATGGATTAAGACTTTGTAGTCATATATAAATAACTCTTTGAAGTACTTTTTCAGTAGTTCATCACATTTCCCAAGATATCTATATGAGACTAGGGGTTTCCATCAATCTCTTTATCTCTGTACATATTACGTAAAAACGAATGTAATAAATTAATAGAAAAGAAGGAACAGAAATTATAATACACACTTTACAGTTGGAAGTTCTCGGACACTGGATGTTATGTCTGAAGCCTCAGGCATATATTTCTCAACTATCTCTAGAAGATGCCACAGCTCTTTTCTTGGTCCCAGAAGTCCCTTCTTAGCTAATGAAGAAACAAATTTTTTGTTATAACATTTGAGGGGCAAAAAAGGGATCCTTGGCCCATTATGGATGTTCCGTTCATTTAGTACAACAGAAAACCTATATATCTCTGAAGACCTCTTACTTCAGTGGATATACAACTTTTTGATTTTTAAATAACAATATTCTTTTGTAAACAAATATCACATATTTGTTATAAAAAACACTACCAGCAAGAATAACTCTTCTTACTTTTGACATTGTATTTATAATAAAACAATACAAGATGGCTGAAGAAATTAAAAGTAGAACTCAATAAGATTATTTTACTTGTTTATACTTAAATAATTGACCTATTACTTACGCTTAAGGCCATGTCTCATTACATGCTCTAGAAGAATGAAAAAGTGCTGCAGGGGAACATGGTCAGAGTCTAACATTCTCCCGTACTTGAGAGATGATTCTATTAATTCTTTCACCACCAACTTGGTTACATTTACAAGATTTGAACGCTCAATGGCAACAGGATCTTTCTCTGGTGGTAAAATACATATTAAAAATGAAGCTCATACTTGATAGAGTGGATAAAAATAGCAGACTTGATGTAGCATGACAGATATTTAGATACGACTTAAACTTTCCGTAGACATTCATCATATAAGAATTGCAATAGGTATTAGTTTTATAACAAACTATAAACTACAGTTTAAACCAATAGAAAAAGCTATCACATTTGATAAAATATTTATTTACTGTTTCCTTGAGACATTTATATTAGTCTAATTATAATATTTTTCCGATTATTCCTTCTAGCATAATATTACTTTTGCATAGTTTCCAAATACAATTTTTTCTCTCAAAGCTACGAGGTACAGAAATATATAATTTAAATTTACAACTTTCATAATTTAGTTATTAATGCAATTATTACAGCATAAAGATTTTAATACGGAAGACAAATAAATTAGCTGATTATGAAAACAGGATGCACTCACTGCTTACCGTCATGTTGTGGAGGTTGCTGTGGCACATCGAACTGGACGTCTGTCAGTTCTTTCAAGCACAGCCACTCTCCATCTACAGAAACTCTAAAATTACACAGGTAGATTGTATCTTTTGCCATTCCTAACTTTTTAAAGTTAAGATAAAAGCAGAAATATTCACGTGACAGCCACCAAGTTTGTGAAACCCCTTAATGTTTTGTCTGGAGAGAACCCCTTTAACTCAAAGCACATTATATAGACTTTTGATTTTCAATAATCAGAAGATAATTTAAAGAAAAAAAAGGAAGTTTTCTTAGATTGGGTAGATAAAATTGGTCCAATTAAATGAATCACTTTCAGGTTTTAGTGAGATTACTTTATAAACAACAGAAACTGGTTTCTGTAATGATGTTATAGTATACATAGTCCAAAAACGTTTTGAAAAAGTTCAAGTTGTTAACCATAATTATAGAGTTTCGTCCATTAAAATTAACAAAAACTGGTATCTAGTTAATCAATGTACATTTATTCTAACGTGCTTGCAATGAAATTTTATATTAATTCTTAGTAAACCTTTACGTCTTACACCAGAAAAGTAAAATGAAGAAACTATGACTAGGTGTAGGATACTTATCAAACTAAAGTTCATACAGCTTGACAAATACGATAACCACAGATCTACATTATTACACACACACACATGTATTAATACATAACTGAAAAACAA